CTGCCACTACTGAAGTATTCAATTTCTACTGCTCCTGCTGTCGGGAACTATGCTTTCTTATTCTGCTCTGTCATCTGTAAATTCAGATTGGTGCCCCCCAGTTTTTTGTCAGTGAACCAATCATGGCATTTGGTTCCTGGGCTGTTCATGAGCTATTTTCATTGTTGTAAATCAGAGATGCATTTTTTTAAAAAAACGAATAAATAAAGACTCTTGGAGAGGCCATTTAATATGCTACTGAAAATGACTGCACTCAGTCTAATTTGAATTACTTTTTGTTCAGGTAGCATTGCTTTATTTGTAGTATTTTGCCTTGTTTTAGGTACCTAATGTTTGTAACACACTATCCTGAGCTTTAATGGGAATACAAAGATGAGTGAGACATTATCCCTGTAACCTCTCATAAGATTGTGACAGTGCTAGATTTCAATTCTGTACCACAAAAATGATTTAATTGAAGCTGTAAGACTTCTATACTTTCACACAGGTACACAGAAAGCACCATAAAGACAGTATGAAAGTGGTATGGGAGATCAGAAGGAGAAAAGATTACTCCAGAACATGAACCCAAAAGAGCAGGGGCTTTGGAATCACAAGGAATTGGCTTCGGATTTTGGCTGCGCTATTTAATGGCCATATGAATTCAGAGGGCTTACCCTCTAAGAGCCTCTGTGTTTTCACCTGCAAAATGGGCTATCTCAGAGCTACTCCAAGAACTAGAAGAGTATATAGATTCTTTCCTATAGTCCTCTCAGTAAGCTAATCAAAGCACTTTTTCAGGTTGGGGCATTAGAAATTAGTTGTATAGAATGATGGTCATAAAAGCATGGGCCTGTGAGTCTAAGAACCTAGGGTGAGAATCCCCTCAGTGTCTCTTACAAGCCATGTGACCTCAGACACGTTCTCCAGCCTTCCTGGATCTATACAACAGGACTGTTAGAAAATAAATGCTGGCACATCTTAAGAGCTCAGTAAATAGTAACCACTATTATAGTATTTATGGCTGGGAAGCCTTCATTCGAATAGCATATATTGAGTCAGGCTGTGAAGTATAAATAAAGTTATGACATCCAAGAACTAGGGAAGAGGCCAGAAACCATCAGGCAGAACACAGACTAAGCTATAAAAGGTATTGGTAGGGTTAGACCCTAGCAGAACAGTAAGGAATGAGGCTGGCAAGGTAAGATGGAGGCTGGAATGTGAAGAGACCAAAATGTCCTATATGACCATGCTATCTTTCTCACCATAAAAATGTACTTTAACGTTACTTCACTAGAAATCTTCACAATTGATATGACAAATATAAAAATTTTTTCTACAGGGTTCTTACTTCTGGAAACGGAAAAACGCATAAAAGCTAACAGCCTCCCAGCTAACAAATTACATACTTCTAAAATTCAAGCAAGTCCTTTTAAAAAATAATGTTTAATTATCGGGGGAAAAGGAAATAACGTTTTGATCAATTACGAGGCCTTCATCATAAAAGTCAAGAAGTGTTGGACAGTACTATAAAGCCCAATTACATTAAAACAATGGTGTATAAGAGGATTAACACTTAACATCAATCATTTGAGATGGGGGTGGGGAGGTAGAGAAAAACAAACAAAAAACAATGTTACCAAAACAAAACCAAAAATCATTTGGTTTGGTTTCGTAAGCAAAAAAAAAAAAATCCTCTGAGTCAGAAAAACAACATAGCAAGTGAGAGCACAATGTGGAAGGCAAACCCGAGCAAAAAGCAGTGACATCATAGTTATGAGAAAAGACAGACGGCAATGATAATGAACACAACACACATATTTTTTTTCATAATTTTTATCCATTTTGCAGTCTCAAAGAAATGAAGCATTGTCTAACTCACTCTTCATGAAAGTATCCATGTCTTCACAAGTCATCATCGTGAGCATTTGTAAAAAGTGCTCTTAACTCCTAGTCTCTAAACTGCAAAAGTGTTCACCTGAGTAGGCCCACTCCAAAAAAGGCTCCCTTTCTTCAGATTCTCCCTTTGCAGAAGAGTAGAATAAAGGTCTACTGTAAATGATAAGCTTTTACATATTAACGAAGAGTAGAAATCAAAACTTCATTTTCCCTAATATTTTGGGGGAAAAAATAGCATAATTGTCTTTTCCTAATTTGGGTTCTGTAATTCTACCACAGACGTATAAATTCAGTGCAATTACTCCCCAGAGTTATTTTTAAATGAAAGTAGAAAACATTTCACTGTTTCATACAGAACAACAACAAAAATGATTTCATAGATTTCCCTAATCATTTCTCTGTAAATAACAATAATGTTTTAAAAAGGAAAACTCATAACCGGTGACAATCCTATTTAAAGATGAGAAGAAAGTTAAATTTGCCAAAACTCATCCTGAAACATGTGATGACTGTTTAGTACATTAACTCAGCAATCGTCACAGAATTTAAGCCCCCAAAGTTGTAAACAAAATATAGAAGGCTCTTTTGTCCATGACATGTCTTGAACAAATTACCAAAATGTGTTTTCTCCTCAGGTGTCAGTTTTTCCCTCTTTTAGTGACTGATGGCTCCCAGTGTTATTACAGAAACAGATTGATCTTTTTAATGAGCCAGTTTAATAGACTCCAAAATCTCACCGTGGCTGCTCATCCATGTCAGACCATATGCACCAACAAAACATTCAGTAAAACAAAAAAAGCTCTGCTGTCAGACAGCTCCATACTCTATAAAATTTCATATAGTAGATCTGGATATACAGATAAATAACTAGAGAAGAGAGAAATGCATATGCAAACAAGATGCAGAAAATATATGCAAAAAAAAAAAATACTGTAGAGGCCCATATTTTCTTGGCTCTGATCAAATTCCCACAAGATACAAATGTATTTACACAACATATTCTCATTACCATTCCTTATAACTCTAAGGAAACCCATTTGCCATCCTTCCATTATAACATATACTTCATGGTGCCGCTTGAAAAGAATGTTCTATCCAAAGATCAACCATGTAAATTCTGACTCCAGCAATTGTCCATAAAAAACTAAAGGGAGAATAAGACTGAAGACTCTAAAAGAGAGTTTACCTGACTGCATATTCATATGTGCATGCACACACAGCCACAGAATGTCAAAACAAGAATGCTGAACATCTGTGGAATTTAATATGATGTATTCATATCAGTGTTAACATATTACTCAGACCTTACCTCAGGATTATCCTAGGAAAGCCTAAAGTCATGGTACATTCAAATATAAATACCAGGGAAGAGCCAGTGGGAAAATAGCTGGGAATATAGAAAAAGGAATGAAACAAGTTTTCATACTCCCTGTTATAGTAATTGAACAGTCAGGAATTCTACAGTAAGTGGTGTCCATTTTCAATTTTGCCTACAGAAGTATCTTTATATTTATCATAACTATCAAAATCTTTACCTACTTCATTCCCCCCCACCAATAAATTTTCTTCTTCCCCAAATTTTCCATCCAGTCTCTTCCCTAATTTTATCATATTATACTAAAAACATGGAGCTGAAATATCTCAATACCTGTATATAGCACTTATTTTCTGCAGTGTAAATGGATTTGGATCAGACAGGAATGCACATGTAAATCATTTATCCTTGAGCTGTCTCTTGGTTTTCTGCATCATGTGGACACACCACTCAGGCACCTGAATTAAGCAATTCCCTTTAAAAGCTAAAGTACTAAACACTCTATTCATTCTAAATATGACCAAGAAAATATGATTTGCAATAATAAGAAAGTAATGCTGTTGGTAGGTCATACATGGAGGTAGGTTTACAATATGTCAGAAGTAGACTAATATTTAACCTCTTGCTTTAGAAATTTTAAACTATTAAGAGGTCCTATGACAGGAGAAGAAAAATTCCAGAGATTGTAGCATTAAAAACTGCTTAACAGAGAATTATTTAATAACCGTATGTAAACTGGCTGGCTTTAATAACATTCTGATTTGTAAAGCGGCTAATACAGTTAAGGGTAGCTAAGTCGGTCACAGATAGATGTCCCTGAGCAGCTCCAAGAATCTTAAGCTCCTATGAATCTGGAGCATAACTGTGCCAGAGCACTAACCTCTCAAAGGCTGTTACACCCACGTCTGATGAAATGCAGAAAAAGAGAATTAATAAGTAGAGAAAGGAAACAAAGCATATGACAAATAAGTTTTTTAATATAGTTCCATTTTAAGATTCTCCTTATTTCACAGATACTGCATAAGATGCTGCTGATAAGATTTTATATTTCTAGATCAGAAATTATATATCAGGATATGGCATTTATTAAAATTATTTTAATAAGGTACATGAGAAGTTTCATGTGTATGCCTTATTTGACAACTACTTTGTAGGGTTGAATGGAGAAGGGGCTTTTTTTTTTTTTAACGTTTCTTAGAATTCCCAGGTAAGACAGCAGAGTGTCAGATAAAATAAACATTAGCTGATAAACTTTTTCAGCAAAATTACCATCTATTACCTTTATTACACAACTCTTATCTTTACTCAGTTCATCTAGCTTCTTAGAAGTTTTCTTAGTTCATAAGGAACCCAAATCAAATAGATACTGTACTGTGATTATCGAGAAACACACTCTGGCCAGCCTTCAAAATGATCACATTTTAGGAAAACTTGGAACAGCAAATTTCATAACACTGAAGGATAAACCATGTGACTGGGTTGAACTACATAATAAATGAGAATTTTAATACCGATGTGTATCTAAGACCCATCAGTGGTACCCGGCACATGTGAAAGTTATTTATCTCTTTTTAGCTTTAATATTACAAACAGCAAAGATTAACCTGCACAAAAGCCAAAATGACTCAGGTCAGAGATTATCACTGTAAAATCCCAGGAAAGAGCAAGATTCCCAGGATGACCACACTGGCTTATTGCTATTGTGCAAGAGATGTAGGCTAGCAGTTTCAATGTGACATGAAAAATGTCCTCGTACCACAGGTATGAGGAAGAGGCCTAGGTTAGTCCAGGGCCCCGTCCCTCTCACCTGTCTGGAGTTCGCCTCTTCCCGTTTTCGTTCACATCGAGAAGCAGCTCTGAGGAGTCAACGGGTGAGGTGGTGCTGGCATCCAGAAGCAGCTGTTCATGCTGGGCGAGGTACTGGGCAGGGTTCTGTTTGGCCAGTCTTGCGCAGTGGAGGAGCTCACGCTGCAGCAGGGGCAGGTTGGCCTGCAAGAGCATGACAGGAAATGAGCAGATGAACCGCCACATCAAAATGACGTCCAATGCAGGCCATGGGTTCCACTCCCAGGCACGACTCTCGGGCCTGGGCTACCATGTGTTCCACGGCCCAGAGCGCAAAGCGTCTGACCTTTTGGGTTACTTCACCTCTCCTCCATTTCCTTGTCAGTAACACCAGGAGTGGCCCTTATTATTTTTAAGTTGCCTTCATACTCAAATATAAGTTCCACAGGATGTGAGATTCCAGATCCATCTATTAACAACTTCTGTTCTCCCCCAGGAAGACCAAATAAACGTAAAATACATACATAGTCCAATTAATCTCAAAATAGACTCCCTGACACAGTCAGTTTTGTACCTAGAAACTCACACAGGTCAAACAGGTGAATCCTGTGAATTATCTTTGGCCAACTAACTTCGAATGAAAATATATTAAAAATACAGAAATAAAAATAGAGGGTTTTTTTTTTGTTTTTTTAACAATCATCAGATTCATACAACATTTAAGTAACGGCCTGGGTATGGTCAGATATCCCAGTTGAAATTAATGCCCAAAGCAGCACATAACAGTAGTTTGCAAAAATAACAGCTTTGTGTTCAACTTTCTTCTGAGGAATATAGATATACGTGTACATATTTTTAACATTAGAAGAAATCCTGTGTGCCGGTCACTTCCTTGCCTAGCCAAGAACCTTGAATAAAGACTCTTAGAACAGGCTTGTTGATAGTCTGAAAGGTAATTTTGGCAATCTCAAATGCATTAAAAGGGAAGGAGGCAATTTTGCACATAGTAAGGCATTAAAATGAAAATCTAAGACAGCATTTTACTCTGAACTTACTCTGACATTATAAATCCAGTGGTTGCTGCTTCTTCTCTTCTCTTATTATTATTATTATTATTATTATT